CCTCATGAAGTCAATTTATCGACTTCTTCGGATCAAATCGAAGAGCTACATGTTGAACAAGGGCAAGAATTAGTTCCAAAAGATGAATCCCATCCCATAAATCTCAGTGATTCACCATGATTCTCGATGTTTCTTGATGGTTCATCACAGATTGAAGCCATCGATGAGGGCAAAGAGGAACAAAAAGTGAAGGTTAAAATGGAATAATGGGTTTTTGTTAGATGAGGGCAAAGAGGAACAAAAAGTGAAGGTTAAAATGGAATAATGGGTTTTTGTTAGATGAGGGTTAAAATGGTAATTTATTGTCATTCAGAAAACAGTTACCAAACAACATTATTGTATTCAGCACTTAACCATTCTGACCCTCTTAACCATTCTGACCTCTTAACCATTCTGTACTAAATCATTAAGTAACTACCAAACAGCCCCTAACCCCAAAATATATAGTATATATATAAATAAATAATTATAAAAGTATAAATCTTAAATATTAAAAATATTTTTTCACAATATATATATATATAATAATATAATTAAGTAAAAAATTATTCAATATTGGACTCATTTCGAAGATATTAACGAGACGATTATAATGATGTAACTTGTCAAAATAAAAATGTATTTTTTAAACATGTTTTAATTGATATACGATTATGTATATTAATTTGATAAAAGTTTAAAATGAAACATTTAAAAGTAAAGGACGTAAAGTAAATTAATTAACTAATTATAGGGGTATAAATGTGAGGGGTGAGTGTATGTGAGAAGAGCATAGGGTGAAAAAGTGATATAAATGGTATATTGGTCATTTAGTATTTTAAGACTTTTGTTAAATTTGTTTTATAAGATAGTATAGATAATTGGACATAATAGAACAAGTAAAATAACCAATTTACTCATAATGAGTTGTTTATATATTTTGATTAATTTATTTAATTTTAATATAATAATGATTTTTTATAACAAAATATATCATTAGAAAGTTTTTGTCAAAACAATTATAATAACACCAAAAGGAAAAGCTTATGTAGTTTCCAATTTCCATTTTATCCATTTTCTACATTATTTATTATTACTAGTTGTATACCAGCGCAATGCGGCGGGATGTAGAAAAGCATGATAATCCTTTAATTAGTGGTGCAAAATCCAATTTGTGGATCTGTAAGATGTTTTCTAGCATCATTGTAATTTTTTTTATCATATTATGAAAATGTTAAAATTAACCTAAGATACATTTAGTTGACAAAAACAATCGACGGTCAGGTCACTCTTAATATGAAAAGAAAAATCTAGGAGACCGTACACCAAACGCTTACCCGGATAAACACTTACCAAGTCAGATTACTTTACCGAATGAATATGATTGGACCAAGAATCTTACCCAGTAAGTGACAAGGCAAAGATCGACAGGCTTACCCAGTAAATGAAGATCATCAACCATCAAAGGATTCTTATTGATCTTGGTTCAAAATACACTGACAAATGCAATAAAATCCCCCTTAAAGAAACAAAGCATGGTTGAAGAAGCAACCAACACATAACAAATGTATCCATATATAATATCAAAAATCCAAAACTTGAGTCAAAAATCATGCATCAATAGATAATATCAAAAATCCAAAACTTGAGTCATTACAAGGACGAATTCAACATTATCAAACTAACAAGTGTGTGCCCCCGTTAACAAAGAACAATAAAAAGCTACCCTAAACAACTCAACTTGTAATTTGTAACCAAAACAACTTCTGATTAAGAAAGACACCATAATAAAAAAAAGCAACAATGGATTACTTGATCAGTTGCCCTTCCTCCATAAGAAGCATCCTTCGGTGAGCCTGGCACGGCCACCCGTTGGTTGGCACAAGAAATTCTGGCAGTTTCCACATACCACCACAGTATAACAAAAACAGTTGTTCTGTTATCATAAATATAACAAAAATTTAGAAAAATTAAATAGAACATCATAGAAAAAGGGCACAAGGTGAAGCACAAAACACTAAACGTAAAAAGAAAATTTATACGAATACTCGCATGTTGAAACAACCTTGGCACTTAACATCCTGCACCAGTGTTCAGAGGATTTGTTGGATTTCAAGATATCAAAGTTTAACAATAAACAAAAATTCATCAAGATATCAAAGTATAACATGAAAACAAAAAGCAATAGAACATAGTAAAAGAGACATAATGGGTACCATGAAGAAAGAGTTCGGAGACTGAACAAGACATTTTAGCTTGTGCTTCCTCTTCTCCAACTCTATAGAGCTCCAATTAACAGCAAACCAAGACACATCATTCTAAAACTATTCAACTCCATTATACATAGATGTATACCAATCTTCTCCTATAGATTATCAAAATTTTATACCTTCAATAATGAGTCATGATTTGACTGCAATCACTAATGACGCTGTTTCATCTAAATCCTTCTATATATGTCCATTATGGTAAACTGATCCACACACATATTGATAACAAATGAAACCATCCATATCCCTTCCATACAGTGTAAGTAAGGGCATTCACAAAATTCTGATCAAGTAAATATCAAAACAACCAATTGATATCAAGTAATAGGTACTATGTAGCCACTCAAATCTCCATCAAACAGGTCTCAAAAGGTTGCAACTCAAATTGAGGACAAAGATTATTTCACAAAACATGGAATGAATGTCACTATGTAAAGGAAATCGAATAGGCTAAACCAGAAAGAAACTCTAGAAACTCTTTCTATGAGAAGCAAAACTAAATAAAACCTCATGTACATAACATACTTTAAAGCTATAGCAACCTCAAGGGTTAATGGGTACCTGAAGTTCATGTAGAAGGTTTCCCCATGTTGTTTCCACTATGGATCATTCAGGGCAGTGAAAGTTAATCGAACAAAAGAGAGAAATCAAGGTAATCAAAGAGATGTAGGAAAAATCAAGTTCAAACAAACAAAAAACAAAAGCGAAAGCTTGATATGAATTGTATGATCAGAAAATCAGAAAATCAAAGAAAACCTACTACCTGATTTATGTCTTCGTTGAGAGGAGCAATAGGAGGAGTGATAATCTTGGAATCGTCAAGAGTATGAATAGTAGCCTGAACGTGAATCGTCATCTTGGAAGAAAGAGTCGTTGCAAATTGTCTTGGGAAAATAAAGAGTCTGCATCTGAGTTGTAATATACAAATAAAAAATCAATGCAAGTGCAACCTAAAAAATAAAATTTTGTGTTTTGAACAAAATAAAATTATCAATTCAAATGAATCTATCACAATCACCATTATTCTAAAAATCCCAGACTTGAAAAAAAAAATGTAACTAAAGTTGGTCCTAAAATTTAGAAATATGGTTGTGTTCAGAAGATGGGATCCTGTTTGGTGTCATTCTAAAATGTCTTAAATTGGATTTGGATTGTAACAATTTTTGCTTAATCAAAGAGTAGTAAATCCATGGCAGAAAGACTTTATAAGATCTTGATAATCTGCAGCAGCATATGTAGTAAAAACATCAAAATTACAAGCAATTATAGGCTTCAATATCACATTCCATTTTACAATAAAACATATTAGACTTAGACTTCAATGATACAAAATCCAATACCAAACACTCTGGACAGCACATAAACTGCTTGACAGATATGTTGTAGCCATAAAAGGAGCAAAATTAGAACAAAGCAATCTTATTTAATACATATCCTGCAAGTTACATTTTAAATGCAAGTCCTAGACATATTAGCAGTCACATGGGCTAATTGTAATATAAACTAACATTTGTTTATCAATTAAACAAAAGAACTCTCATCCCATCATGCTCTAAATTCTTTTTTATTTATTTTAATGGACAAAATGGCAACAATATAATTCTAAAAGGTATTGTTAAGCTTTTTGTACAGTGAGGTATAAAACTTATACCATGTCATAGATCTATGAAAAGATATATATATATATATATATATATATCACTGTGCAAAAAACTTATAGATACATATATAGGATTAGGTTCAGGTGAGACCATCAGGTTTTCGTAAGACCACATTTTAAACTTAAAAGTACAAAACTGAGATCAACTTCATTGTGAATCTAAGTTGCAGCATATGCGTCCACATGCACATCCTTGTTTGGGTATAAGGGATGTGTGAGCAATGGTTCAACCCAAATATAAGATATCCTTAGTCAACAAATAATATAAGCTGAAATGTACCTCCTAGACAATTCTCTGAAACAAATATATTTAAAGAAACAAATAGCCATAAATTGGTTAACTGAAATACCCATTTGAAGATCCCACCATGGAACCAAAAACTCGAGCTTGTTATGCTTCTTCTTGCATACTTGCCATTCTAATAACCTTAAATTGCTTGAAGCAGTCAATCCCCTCCCCCTGAAAATCCACCAAGAATTTACTTGAAACATACATAAATACGTTCGACCGTATGTATAGAATATATATACATCATTCATAGAGATAATTACTTGAGCAAATGAACCAATGATCAATATCCGAAGCAAGAGGGAAAACAGAATAAGCATGGACAAACTGAGCAATTCTATATGGGTTTATCCTAAAGGTCTCTGGATCAAAGCCAATATTCCTGAAATGTTAAAGACTCTTTGTTAGAAATATGTTCTTGATTTAGATAAAAAAGTAAATGGAGCAATGTTTCAAATGTAAATTACCCAAGACGGTTGAGTTGCTTCCACAATATGCTTACAAATATATTGGATTTATTTTTCAGATCTACAACCGGAAACATCTCGTCTAGCTCATTGGCTCTTCATATAAGCTTTCCATATGAATCAGACAATGATAAAACGCGATGAAAATTAATCTTTACATTCTTTTAACTCTCTGGACAAAGAAACATATTCTAAAAAAACTCACATTTCGAGAAGCTTCAGGTCTCGTGCTGGATTTGGAATTGAATTCCATTCCAATCCCGCGGTTTTTTAAAGAAAAATTTTGGAACTAAAATCCAGGGTTTCAAATAAATCCCACAAACATTGGATTATAAGATTCACGAAACCTACATTTCGAAAAGCTTCAGGGTTATTGGGGGATCAAGAAATTTGAAGATCAACTATTGGTGGGGCTAAGAAGAACAAAAACATCATACTCTTCTGTTATGTTTTCCTGTAAGAAACCTGAAAATTATACATCTATGAAGTGATATGGATTCAAAGTACCCAAACAATAACAAACATCTAAAAAGTTCACTGCCAAAGGAAAATTTTGAAAATTTTGAAAAAAACAACTTGCAATTGAGATTAGAAAGTTGAAAAGTAAAACCCATGGTGTCTAGAAAACTAAAAATGCAATGGGTTAAAACCATTTTGGGGAGAATCATCTTTTGCAGCAGAATGAGCCAAAWTACAACCRATAAACCCTAAACCACAAAAGTGAAATCAAACCCTAACCCAAAAGAAAACTCAAAGAACAACATATAAAGAAATACAACTGATAAAACCCTACAACACATAAAAAATTACCTCGATTGAAATAGTGATGGAACTTGGAAGGAGCAATGAATCGGTTGAGGAGCGATATCAATAAGAACCCAAACCTATTTCTAATCATATTTGAATTAACCGAGTGCTTGAATCGCCATTTTGGGGAATCAAATCGTTGCTTTTGGGAAGGAAACCATCATAGGTGCTGCATATAGGAGCGATAATTGTGTCTTGGGAAGATAATCTTATCTGGATGTTAGATATAGCATCGCTAAGTTGTACATTGTGCATAAAAGTATAAATAAGGGTATTTTGGTCATTTATAAATTTAAGACTTTAAGACTTTTATAGAATTTGCTTTATAAGGTAGTATAGATTAATATATAATAAATTACATAAATTAATTAAAATATAGAAACCGTATAAAAATAATATTTTGAGGACAGTAAAATGAAAGTTTAAAAAACATAAAATACAATAAATAAAATTTAAAGAATGAATAAAATGTAAAAAGAAAACCTATTTGATGTCTTATAAAAAACTAAGTTTTACTTTAAGGTTATATTAATAAAATATAAGTTTGTTCTACCTTCTTCCACTATGTTCTATAGGATATGAGTGAAACATGCATGCTTCACTTTATTCTTGTTTGTTCCACATAAAATTCTTATCAAACATAAAACATATATCCCTATTCTCTTCTGTCTTATCCAATATGTGCACCTAGCGTATGGATAATCAGAGTGAAATTAGAAGTCATTATTTACCATTGAAGGTGGATTGTTTGTCAAAACTTGAAATCAATAAATACACAATGACATATAAATCGTTGAAATAAGCATCTTCTAAAGTATTTAATTAGTATTGAGCATGAGAAAGAATGTAGAAGACAATAAAAAAACCATTTAGTTTTAAAAATAAGCTTAAATTATATAAAATAAAATATAATAATCTTTTTTTATATTAAATTTTTGCTAAATACCAACATACATCCACATCTTTAGACTTTTATTGCTAGTTGGCCTCTATATGACTTGATAGAGACAAATCCAAAGGACCTAAATTATTAATAAATGCTATTAATTATTTTACATATTATAATAATTAATTACATTATATACAATGTTCCTGTAAAGTTTTTGTTTATTATATACATTGAAACCTTCAAAATATCAATAATGGTTCAACTCAAGCAATTATAAGTGATGTCTTTTTCAAGTTTTGTGTAATTAAAAATTATAATTTACATATTGCATTGGGAAAATCATTTGTGTCAATTTATTAATATTTAGTTTTGTATTGCCCTTCGGTTGATATATCTTATGAAATGATCAAATTATCTGATATAAGTGTTGGGTTATATTTCTAGAGAAGTTAGTCGGTATACAATCTCATAATCTCTAAGATGATTAATAAACTTTTGACTTAGATTCGACCGAAGTAATTTTATCTTTTTTATCAAGTTGATTCTCTACTTCATTTTGAAACTCCTTGAATATTTAAAAGCATTCAGATTTATTCTTCACTTGGTAAAAACATAGCCATATCTATTGAAGTCCTCAGTAAAGGTTATGAAGTAGCGATGATCGTTTCTTGTGACAGAATAGAAAGACTCACATACATCAGTTTGAATGACTCCTTACCGTTCTGTTGCCCTTTTGGGTTCGCCTTTAATAGGCGCCTTTGTCATCTTGCTTAATAAACAAGATTCACATGTATCATATGAATCATCGCATGATTCCAACATTTTGTCCTCCTGGAGTTTGGGTATGAGTTTCTTGTTTATATGTCCAAGATGACAATGCCACAAGTAAGTCTAATTTAAGCTCTATTATTCGTTTATTGTTTGCGTTATATATTGGTTCATAATTACAATCATTTTGCATATCAATTTCATAAATACCATTGTGTGGTTTGGCCACAAAATATACAACATTGTTAAGCTAAGCATAAATTTATTACTTAAGGTAAACATAAATGCAGTTTGCTGTAATTGAGAAAATGAAACTATATTCCTAGAGTAAGATAATTTGGCAGCTTCATTCATATGTGCCTTGAGTAATAGCAACTACATTAGCTACATTGCCCATCCTCAGTTCCAATTGGCTTGTTTGCGGGAGAGATAAGATACAGATTTTATCTAAACAATCAAAGATAACACACAAATTACAGATAGCAAGAAGAAAAGACTTGCTACAAGAAATATGTTAAGAAATATTGTGCTCCTCACTTGTTAAAGTGGAAGTCTTTCTCTTAGAAAGAGAGTATAAAAAGAGGAGTATCTTCTTGGGTAAGATCTTCAAGGCGAAGATGATTGGATATAGGTTAGAGAGTATAACTGAGAAGAGAGAACTATTCAGCTATTTATACACATTGCATTAAATGCAATATTTAGAAGGTACAAAGCATGTGGCAGCTTTAAGAAGAAAGCTTGTCCTTTGTTGTAGTATATAGTCTTTTGGTTGTATATGAATGGTCTTCTTTCATAAAGTAGGTAAGCATGCTTGGAGACAATAGAGTGACTCCGTACAGTACTTTACTTTGAAAGGTATGGGTTTGTCCTTTGTATGTAGAAGAACAAGACAAAAACTATCTTGTTCAACAAGATTCATTTGATCGTTGAATATTGGAATGACGTTGGAAGTCTCATCAGTGTTCATTGAATCTTGTGTATATTTAACACTTTTGTAGACGAGCTTGTTATCACTGAAAATCGTTTCAGATCACGAACTTGTTGGTCTCTATTTTCAACTTCTATCTTCGATATCGCTGAAGGATCTGTGGTATGAGTTTTGTCTTCCTGAAGAATACTGGTCTCTGAAGGAATTATTATACATGTTCAGTGATCACTGAACAGACTCAATGATGTTCGCTAAAACTGAATACATAGATAGTACACTTCGTAAGGTAAAAGAGATCATCATCAAATCACTAAGAGATAGGATCAACAGAATGGTTAATAATCTCATATAACCCATGATCCAACTAACCTAAATAGACTCACCATGATTGGGATCTACCCATTTTCTTTACATTTTTTAATAAGATGAGAAAATATAAAATTTGACGCACCAATTTACCATACAAATCAAAATACATGTTCTCCACTTGTATGTTGCAGGCCTTAACATATTCAGTTGTACCATAAAAATAAAAATCCATCTCTACTTAACTAAACAAGGTGCAACTGATTCAAATATGGTTCACTTAACTACAAGAAAGTTATCCATACTTGCTTAACTATGCTGCTAACTAACCTGTGTGACTATCTCATGCCACTGACCTTTCCATATATGTAATTTACTAGGGAATTATAAGGAGGTGTTTTGTTTGATTGTATGGTTTGGAGGGATTTGGATTTCATGGAAGAATTTGGAAGTGGAGGGATTTGGAGGAAGGTCTGGTGTGTTTGGATTTAAATTCCAAATCTTTTCCATTCCAACAAACCAAATGGAACCTAAGAGATTTGTTATACTTGGTCATTTGTTAGGATTTCAATATTGACTTTTCTATATGTGGTCATTTGTAAGGTATGAACATAGTTGGTGAGGGTTCTCAAAGAGACAACGAATAAATCAGGAAAAAGAGATTGTGATGTAAATGTTTCTTGAAACATGTATAGATGAGGTCCTTATACATGGACGAGAAGGCACCAGTCCTAACTCTAAAGCCACGTTCATGGAAGATATGGATACAACGCCTTGGGATCCCCAAGACAATGAATACATTGCTAATTTTCGTAATGAGATTGCAAACCAATTGGTGTTGAATGTTTCAAGTTAGATGTTGTACATAAATATTGTGTTTAAACTTGCATTTTATGTGATGTTTTGTTATGCTAAAACACAAACGAACATTGTTATTTTTTTCATTTTTGGATTTATATGGTATCATGTATTGGCTTAGGCCATTAATTTGCTACTTTTTATTTAAAAATTTCATTCAGAACTTTTTTCAAACATTAATTTGCATTGAAGACAAGACTGAGGATAAAATGGTAATTTTATGTCATTCAGACTATTGATTTAGAACAATTTTTAAACAATCATTTTATATCTGACACTAAATCATACAAAGTCTCTTAACCATTTTGACCACTTAATCATTCTGCACTAAATCGTTCAGTATATGCCAAACAGTCCCTTAATTGCCAATCGTTTTCTGGACCTGTTAACAGTGAACCACCTTCCTTTCTTCATTTATCCCTTTCTCCATCTGCCGATGATGCTACCACCGACCATTTTCTCTTTTATCGAGAAATCACATTTTAAAGTCCACTGGAGCTACCATTACCATTTTCTCTTTTCTCGATTAACCACAATCTGAGACTCGTTTCTTCAATGACACCACCCCTTCCTCTTCTCGTTTCTCTGATGACACCACCCTTCCTTTATTAGTTCAACCCACGCAATGGAGATGAAGATGAAAACGACTTGATGAAGATGGAGATGATCCATTTGACTTCATTAAGTTTATGTTATTCGAAGATGTAGATGCAGATCCATATTACCTCTGGTTTCTGAAAGATGCAAATCCATATTCAAGTGAGGGTGGCGACGTTCTTGAGATAAGGATTTGATATCAGGGATTTTGTTGTTTTTATTTAGATTTAGGTTATGATTTAATGTTTTTATTGTTTACGTTCTGATCAAGATTTAGGTTATTGTGCATGAATTTTATTTTTATGAATCTAGTTTTCTTGTCGTTGCTTGGCTATGAATCCAATTTGCTTATGTTATCTATGAATCTGAGTTGCTCATGTGTATGGATTTGATTTACTTGTGATAATAATGGTCTAACCAAATTATCTCTCATGTGAGGGCATATCCCTTTACTTAACGACACTGATCATGTTTGGGGGCAAACTTATGAGGCGTTGAACCGATTTTCGTAAGTAAAAAAAGGTATGAAACATTCACCTGCTAAAGTTTGAGGAATGCTCCGGAATATTTGAAAATACAAAGAAAGTCGGCCAAAAAACTAAAAGAATCACTTAAAACAATTTACTATTAATAAATTTTAAAGATAAAATTCAAAAACCAATTAAAGCGAATCATTTTCAAAAACATTTTTTATTAGTAATTACATAAAAATATTATCTAATTTATTAACTTTTTTCTGAATAAAATCGAAATTAGGGTTGTTCATGGGTTAGGTTTGATTGTGTTGAAGATATTTGAACAATTTAATCCAATATTTGCAGTTTGAAAAATCTCAATCCAATCCAACTTAAACCAAGGTGCAACCCAACCCAATCCAACCCAAATCGTACGAGTTGTTTAGGCTGATACTTTGGTATATCAAAATATTCTCTTAACCTTGGATATGTTGTTTTCTCTAGTCTAATAATTTCTTTTTCATCATCAACCATTTAGTACAACTTATTCATATTCCTTAAATCTTATGTATATCACATTCAATTAATTTTATCAATTTGCATATATATATATATATATATTCATAGTTACTGAACATATATACAAAATAGCTAGTTGTATAGAGATAGAAAATAGATTGAAAATATATGTATATGAAGATGATATGTGATAGTGTAATTGTCTAATATACATATTTGTAGAGACTCAACAATCATACTAAATCTAATAAATAAAAAGATATCGGTTCATTTGGTTCATCGAGTTGGGTTGGATTGGGTTCAAATAAAAGTAACATATTGTCAACTTAATACCTACGGTTTGAAGATTTTACAACTTAATTAGACATCGAGTTGTTTCGAGTTGAGTTATTTTACGTTTGATTTGGTCGGGTTTTTGAGCGCCCCTAATATAACAATCTATATTATATTATAAAGCATTTGACAAAAACTTTTAAAAACCATTTTTTATCCATGAAGTACTGTTTATTAATGCATATTACTTAAAATTCAAGATTACAAATAAACTGTACATAAGAACAACTTATTAAAGTTTCATTCTTGATTTCGTGTAACTAATACAAAATAAACATAATCAAAATACAAAATAAACATCTCGTTTTTAATATAAAAACTCTAAAATGTAATTAAGATAATCATAAAAGTCTAACAAAATTCTTAGTTATTATCTTTATAAATAATTATATTATTAAATAAAAAATAAATTACTTCATTATTAAACATAAATTAAATTACGATAAAAATTTGAATTAAAAAATTATAAAAAATAAGAATTTTTAATTAATTAATCTCATACTAATATCATATATTTTTCTCTAAAAATTTATAAAATCTTTAAATTTATATTTTATTTAAAATAAAAATATCATTAATTTTTTAAACTATATAAAATTATATTATATTTATAAAATAAAAAATAAAATAAAATATTAAAATTAAAATTAAAATTAAAATGTATCTATTTGATTGTGCAAATTACCTTCTAGACTTCTAGTACGCTAAGGCACCTCGATTTTGTCAAAGACACCCTTACATTTGACTTTGACTTTCTTTTCTCCAGCTCCTTCACCTAACAATTCGTTTGTTCCCATTTCCCCCGATCTTCAAATCCATTTTCCTGTTATTCTATCTTCATTCCCAGTTCCCACTGATTCACCTTCAATTTTCAATATTTACCCTACCCTTTTCTCTCTTGATGCAAATTCTTCTTTGTTTGTAGGCAGAAAATACAACAGTAATTCCTCTTCCACTCTCGTAAGTCTACTCTTAATTCTCTCTAGTTACGCTTGTTTGATCCTAGTTTTGTGTTGGGATTCCTGATTAAACTTTCAGGGTTCTGTGTAAAGGAGAAAGGTTGGGTTTTTGTTGTCCTGTTTGAATTTCGGTTTAGATTGAAGCTGATTTGATCTAGAGATGCGCTAGATCAATAAAGCCAAGAAAAAGGTGTGTTCTTTATTGTTTTTATTTTATAATTCATGTATCTTGGAATTTGGTCTTAGGATCTAGTGTATTGGTATTAGCTTCTTTGTTTGATTCAATTCCTGGAACCTTGGTTTTGGTGAAAATTTGGGTATTCAGGTGGGAAATTTGAATGGTATGAGATCTTGAATGTTAAGTGTTCGATGAATTGCCTCAATGAACTGATGTTTTTATAGACATGGATAATTCTGATTATTTGGGTGGTAGACACGATGAGCGTTTGGGTGTTAACAAGATTGGGAAAAATATTAGGAAGAGTCCACCACCACACCAACCCAATTTTGCAAATCCGGCAAGACAACCACCGCCGCCTCAGGTGTACAACATCAACAAAAATGATTTCCAAAGTATTGTTCAACAGCTTACAGGTTCACCTTTACACCATTCGCAAGAACCACTTGCTAGACCTCATCAAAACTCACCAAAACCCCCTAGCATGCGATTGCAAAGGATCCGTCCACCAAGATTAGCGCCTATTAATGTGAATAGACCCCAAATGCCAGTTCACCCCCGCCCACAAATGCCGCCAAGGGGATCCATTTCTTTCAATAATAATCTTGCCAGACCTGCCCAATATGGTCAACCACCGCCACGGCAGGCTATGGTGCCACCACCCATGACTGGTGGCGATCATATGGGGTGGGCAAACACAGCAGAGTCTCCTATCTCTGCTTACATGCGTTACCTTCAACATTCCATCATTGATCCAGCCCAAGGACATCCTCAAGATCATCCTCAATATCAGCTGCGACCTCAAACTCCAGGCCAAATTCAAAGTCAGCAAGGACAATCTTCTGGATTGCAACCTCACCCATCTTTCCCTCCTTTTCCATCCCCAAGAATGAACGGTTTACCACCTCCTTTTCCATCCCCAAGAATTAACGGACCACCGCCTCCTCTTCCATCTCCAAGAATAAACGGGCCTTTTATTCCACCATCACCTAATTCTCAGTTCCTTTTGCCATCGCCCTCCGGTTACTTGAATTTGTTGTCTCCTTTATCACCTTACCCGCTCATTTCTCCAGGGTATCAACATCCTCCGCCTTTGACTCCACTTTTTTCCTTCTCACCCATGGCGCAGTCGGGAATCTTGGGTCCTGGGCCTCAACCTCCACCTTCTCCCGGGATGGGATTTCCGTCTCCAGGGTTTTTCCAACTACCAAGTCCAAGATGGAGGGATTAGCAGGATAATGGCAAAAAGATGCCAACAGTTTGTGGATTCAGTGGTTAGGTTTGCATCAGAATCATCCCAGAGGCTTCTAATGGGAGTTTCACAAGCCAAAATGCAGGAAACATTTGTTGTAAGATAGTCTTTAGGAAGGGTGATTTATATAGTTCTTTGTTTATAAACTCCATATCCATGTTTAGGATATTTGTTTAGAAACAATGAAATGGCATGTTTTAATTTAGTTGTTTTAGTGAAGATTCAGCATTTATTTGTAATGATATTTTCCTGCACGTAACTCATCTCGGTTTGCTCGTCAGTCGTAAAGGGCCATTAGAGGTTTGTCTGGCTATTAAGAGCATCTCCAATGGGTGGGTCTTGAACCTGTATGTTGCCATATAGTTTAGATTAAAAAAACCTGTTTATACCATTGTGAGACAACAACAAAAAGAACCGGTTCCGATACCACTTTTTGAGGGCTCCAAAGCCATTTAAGGAAATGTGTAGGAAAAAGAGAAATATCATATAACCGAGTCATGACCGGAGATGATCTAACTTGAGGACTCTATGGAATAAGTTGAAATGCACGCAGGTTGGCGCAGACATCCATAGTTATTCAAAGTTTGTCTGCATGAATCCCTCGACTTGCACATTTGCATCTACATTTGTCCCCAAAGTGTACTAGAAACGTTCACTAATTAAGGACAAACTAATTGCATACACTTTTAATGTAATAATATAATGATCAAGTAAATAAATGTGATGAAAGAATTTTAAGACGGTACTGGTGAATTGTCCAGAAAAAGTCACATTATATGTGATTTTTTATAGAGCAAATCGTATTAAGATGGAACTAACTTTAATTTTAGTGTAAATTAATTTTCAAAATATATTTTTTTATTAGAAAAGAGAATTCATCAAAAATGGCTACAGAAAATGGCACTATAAAAAAAGAGGTTTTATTGACGAAAAAATCTATCAGTAATCAGCCAGAAAAAGCAATCATCAGCGGATTATTGGCAGACGTCATCACGGAAAAAGTGTAGTCGATGATTGTGATTACCGGCGGGTTCAATCATCGACGGGAAATCCGCCAGTCATCCATCAGTACCGGCGGAAAAATATGTCGGTGAAGCCTCGTTGTTTTGTAGTGTGTACATCTGACCTCGTCCAAACCTGATCTCTTCCATTTAGATTAAAGACCCACGAGTTAGGAACGCACATGTGATTTTTTTTTTCTAACTCAATCGGACAATGTTTGATAGTCGATCGGACCACCAAATCCAATGCGCGTGGTGATGTACGAATTTGAAAACCCTTCTTGCTACTAGTACTTAATAAATCAATGATATTAAACAATTTAAATTAGGTTCAATATTATACACTAAAAAGATAAAGAAAGATCAACTAACGTCTTATAAATACAACCCATTACATTATGGGATGCTATGGGCTAGATAAATGTAGATGAACACAAGAATCCAAACTAAGATCTCAAACAAAACATAGAGAAAAGAGATTTCACCCAAAAAAATGGCTGCTCTCGATCTGACCTCTTCCAAATCTGATATATACCATTTAGATTAAAGACCCACGAGTTAGGAACATACCTATGAATTTTGAACTCAATCTAACCGTGTTTGCTGGTAGATTGGACCACCAGATCAAATACACACAATGATGGACAAATTTGAAAACCCTTCTTGCTACTATTACTTACTGAGTCATTGATATCGAACAATTGAAATTAAATTCAATAGTAAAAACTAAAAAAATAAGAAACTTTAAAGATAAGAAAGATCAAATAACATCTTACAAAAACCACGGATTAGGTTATGGCGTGTTATAGACTTTTTTTTTGAAGTATATAATATTTATATACGGCAAATGCAACAAATAAACTCACACACTCTCCTCACCTTTGGTAAGGTTTGAACTCCTGACCTCCTAGGAGGCTAAAGGTTGCGATACCGCTAGGTCAAAGGCCCTTTGGTGCGTGTTATAGACTTAACATGGCATAAGAGTCGAGTCTTGAGCCACAACGACTGCCTTGACGAGTCTTTTAAAACACTGCTTATACCTATGTTGAAACATTTTTAAAAGCTAAAGGCACAATTAGTCTTTGGACGAAAAAGACACCTTGGGCCCTTCCCTTTTCTTTCTTCTCCTCTTTAGGCCATAAATAATGAGGGAAACACCAAGAGCAGCCTAACTAGACACCATGTTAAGGAAGAAGAGCTGCAAGACCTTCTTATGTCGTTTACACTATCAATCTGATCTGTTGCATTCTAGGATATATCTAGTAGAATGAAGTCAAGGCAATTCCAGCTGATTTCCCATAATTGCCTTGGCCTCATTTGTATTATCTCAGTGGGCGAGTCTATTCAATGAAAAAAAGCAGGTACATCCAACCGTCAAATCATAGTTTTTTTTTATCTTCATAACGAGTGCCTTAGTTGTCAAAGGTTCTCGATGCCTTTGACCATCATCATTTTCTTCGGAGACTTACCACTCTTATACCTTGTTGAACAAGTTGTACCTCTTCTAATACATTTCCATTTCTTCTTCCTCCTCCGTAACTTGCATCTTATTTTAGACCAACCTAGACTATTTACTTGTTTGTGTTAATTTGTTGCATTGAGGGTGTAATGTTAATATTACACATTTAACCCGTTGTTTATAAATTATTACAAATTGGTCCTTATAGAACCATGATAGACTATAACCCTTTAAAAATTATTTAACTTCCTCTAACCATAGTCCTTGATGCTATAAATATTTTCTTGATTTCCTCTAAAAAATTTCATTCAAAAAAACAAGAGAAGACGTACATTTATTCTTTTTCGACTTTCGTAACTATTAATTAGGCATTGATTAAGGAATCGTCAATAGATCAAATTAAAACTATAAATATTTTGAGAATAATGAAAACTAATATATGCATCATGCATTGGTGCATATATGGTGTATGAATTAATGTGACTCTGTATGTTAATGCATATATATTTTCATACATGATAGATATGTGTCAGTAATATACTTATTGACATAATGCATATATTTTGATAGTGTATATACATCAATGCTCTTATTTATATATATATATATATATATATATATATATATATAGGTGGAGGTTCAAACGAGAACCGCTGTGATTTACGAGAATGCGAGAACAATCTAATAACCTCAAACTTTTTTAATTAATAAATTAACTTAGATTAAATATAAATAAATTAATAAGGACAGTAATGTAATTAATTAATTTTATAATTTTTATTTTATTTTAATTAGTCATAATTATCCTTTTTTTTGCTGCACGTTTTTTTCCACTCTCTCCTCTCCCCTTGTGATAATTGTGTGATTGTGTAACCATAACCTATCGAAACCATGATCAATCAAGTGTAGCCAGAACCTATCGAAACCTTGAGTAATCGTTGTGATAAATGTGTGATTGTCTAACCCTAACCGATCGAAACCAAAATCAAATTGAATACGCAAGTGATGTTACAATAGTGATATCACATGATTATCACACCCATATCACACCAAATCGTTTAGTGGATTTCGCCCGTAATCGTTGTGATAAATGTGTGATCGTCTAATCCTAACCGATCGAAATCATGATCAAATCGAGTGCGCTGTTATGATAGTGATATCACATGATCATCACACACATATCACACCAAATCGGTAGTCGATTTTCTAAGTTAACCCTAGCCGAACGGAATCCTTGTGATAATTGTGTGATAATCACATGATTATCACACCCAAATCACACCCAAATCACCAAATCGTGTTGATACAAGCGATAATGTGATAATCACATGATTATCACACCCATATCACAATCAAATCACACCAAATCGTGTTGATATAAGCGATAATGTGATAATTGTGTGATAATCACATGATTATCACACCCAAATTACACCAAATCGTGTTGATATAAGCGATAATGTGATAATTGTGTGATAATCACATGATTATCACACCCATATCACATAATTAATCGTTTATTAGATAATGATAATCATGATCGTGTAATCGTATTAAAAGATTTATGATATCATTTCTATTATTACCCTTTTAATTTTAATATTTTCTGAATCTTTTTAAATTTCAATTTTAGTATTAAAAGTCTTTTAATTTTATTTTTTATCACAATATATGGTTATTAGTTTGTTCTCGCATTCTCGTAAATCACAGGGGTTCTCGTTTGAACCCTTCCCTATATATATATATATATATATATATATATATATATATGCGTGTGTGTGTGCACACGCGTGCAAATATTGATTATCATGATTCTAAAAACATTTATGTTGAACCACAAGGGTGGTGCCTGATTGGTTTGAGCTTGGCTCCAATAGTCAAAAGTACCAGGAGGTCCCAGATTCAAATCCAATGAGGAATAAAAATCCCCTTGTGGCCTCGGAGGTTCAAATGCGGTGACTTCGGGCTATCTGCAAAACAAGTGGTCGCCATGGAATTAGTCAACTTGCATAGCGGGTTGGATATCCAGGTTAATAAAAAAAAACATTTATGGTGCTTGTGAGATTCCACATTGGTTGGAGAAGGATACAAAGATTGCCTTATCTAGTATGATTGGCAGAGAATGTAAGAGTGCTTATTTGAACCTTCATTTGTCAAGTAGTGGTTATCATCAACATTCATGGCAAGTTCAAACTCAAGTATGTCTAATCTTCCAACAAGTAAGTACATGAACGCATATCATTAACTGAATTAAGTGTTAATATAAGGTCTGGTCGTGATGAGAACTCCCCATTTTCCTCTGAACCCCTTCATAGTTGTCCATCACTCTTGATTGCATCTGATCCTACAAGGATGATTGTCCGCCTTTTGTATGAAGAAGGGGCATTTGGGTCTTTTGGTTTTTCGCATCCGGTCTCTTAACATAGCTTCACATGATAGTTTTCTTATGTTAAGGTATATGAGGTGGATTAAAGTATATTAAGGGATTTCGTGTTAAGATCTGCTAAGGTATACGAAAAGGACAATTAAGGTCCAATGTTCTTTTTGTTTGTTAGAGCACGTAAATTATGTTAAAGATCTATGTCTAGTTCCAAAGTTCCACTTAATTACATCCATGTCACCTTGTCTTTTTGATCCTTTCAATTAAACCAAAAAAACTCATCTCACCGTTTTTTATAGGAAACAAAGAAACCCTATATTCCATAGATCAAGAAAATCAATAGTTCAGATTTAAATGACATTTTTATAGACATTGTAGAATTTCAAGATGCGTATGATT